TTGGTGATTACCTTGCCTTCCTTGCTTTTCACTGGTCGTTCTGGTTTGCGGCGATTTCCAGAGAGTTTCTTTGTCGTGTCATACAATTGTCTCATGTTCCCTTCTCTTGCAGCCTTTTCCGCCGTCGTTGCTAAATCTTCCACATATTTACGTTTGTCGGTTCTCATGCTTCCCTTCACCTGTTTGTTTACTTCTGTGTATTCAGATTGTGCCTTGGCTTTTTCTGCTCTTGTTTGACTGGTATTGGTTGCTGCTTTCTTGTTCCTACTTTCTTGAATCTTATCCAGTGTATCAACAGTGATCCATTCCTTGTGATGGTGCTTCTTGTGGCCCAGGACCTCATGACATGTTGAAGTGATTGCCTCTTTGATCCCCTTCCAGTTGCTCTCCACAGTAGTTCCTTCTCCATTGAGTAGATCATGAAAGGCCTGGAACTTGTTGCTGAGGACTATCTTGAATTTGTTGAGTTTGTTAGTATCCTGGAGAAAGGCCGTATTGAACTTTTGTGATACTGTCTGCCCCGTTGTCCAGTGTTTCTTGAGTTTCAACTTCATCTTGGCGACCAGTAAGTGATGATCTGATGCTATATCAGCTCCTCTCTTGGTTCTCACGTCCTCTATAGTCCTCCTGAACGTTTTGTTGATGCAAATATGGTCGATTTGGTTTTGTGTAGAGTGATCCGGTGAAGTCCATGTGGTTTTGTGTATGCGTTTATGTGGGAATATGGTGCCACCTATGACCAGTTTATTGAAGGCATATAAGTTTGCAAACCTCTCACCATTTTTGTTCCTTTCTCCCAGTCCGTGTCGTTCCATGATGTCTTCATATCCAGTGTTGTCCGTTCCAACCTTGGCGTTGAAATCTCCCATCAGAATGGTCAGGTCCTTTGTTGGGCACTTCTTGATGATTGACTGCAGCCTATTGTAGAATTGATCTTTAGCGTCTTCATTGTAGTCGTTGGTAGGCGCATAGCATTGGATGATGTTCATTGAAATGCCCTCTTCCTTTGTTTTGAACGAGGCTTCGATGATCCTTGGTCCATGAGATTCCCATCCTATAAGTGCATTTTGTGCTTGTTTGGACAGCATCAATGCAACTCCTTGTGTATGTGGTGCATTTTCTTCTTCATGGCCGGAGTATAACAGGAGCTCTCCTGTAGTTAGTCGTTGTTGTCCAACTTGAGTCCAATGTGTTTCACTGATACCAAGTACCTCTAGGTTGTATCTTCTCATTTCTGCAGCAATTTGGAAGGCTCTCCCGGTGTCCCACATTGTACGAACATTCCATGTACCTAAATAAATGGTCGCTCTGGTTGTCAGAAGGGGCATCGGCCTCGTAACTTCCGAAGGAATTCGGCTTTCATCATGAGGCGTCATAATTCTTCTAAATGAAGACCTTCTGACTCCCAGGGCAGAGTCTAAAAGGCTTGAATGATTTTTTCTGGTTAGCGTTTTTTTAGCGAGTTAGTTTTCTACGGGATGGGGACGCTAACCCCATGCCCAACCCTCCTCCTTTATCCGAGCTTGGGACCGGCAGTAGCCCCCGGAGGGACTCCAGGCGGAGTTCTGTGATACTACCCAGGTGCCCAAACCGAAGCAGGTGGTTATCTTATGGGGCCACTCCCCGAGCCTTTGACCTAAAAGTCTAACCCATAAGGCATTGGAGCATTGTAAGGAGATGCAGTCCCATGGTAGCCGGTGACCAACGATTGGTTCATACGCCATTCGTACCCGCAGGATACTGGAACCCATGTGCACCATTGGTTTGGGATCCGGTTAAAGCGCCAGACATTCGCTTTCCGTCCTCTCATTTTCGTAAACAATACCCCCACCACGAGAAGGCAATGAGTAGGACTTCCGTGGCAGAGGCTGTATACGCGCGGCCGTGTGAGAGTATTTCGAGATGGAGAGCGGACTCTCCCCACTCTCGGCCGTACCAGGGCATTCGCCGGCAGAACATCTACGACCGTCAAATCTTACTACATTATTGGTCGATTACAGATTCTTTTTCTAATACATTTACTTTGTTTGTCTGGTTTTTCATGTGAATATCCGCTTATGTTCATATTTATTATCATGAATGAAACGAAAAAATAAAGATTTCATAAAATTTAAACTATAAATTAAGCTGAAATTCAGTATCACGCTTATATTTCAAATGCCATATACGCTGTTTGTCAAAGTTAAGGAAATAGCACCTTAGGAAATATTGGAGTAATAAATGTAAATTGCTAATTAATATAAAGGGTGTAATAACTTGTTTTAAGACCAACCAAATATATTTACTAAAAATTTTCCGTGAACAGACGTATAAATAGATTCTTCAAAGTAAGAAAACTTACTTATTATTAGATGGAAAGCAAGTTCAGATCAAACTAATAAAAATTGTTTGTGGACGAATTTCTATTTGATTAAAAGAATGGTAAATTTGAGATAGAAAAAGTGGTTACTAAGTACGTTCTTTATATTGATAAAAAATACAATCAACTTCATATATCTTACTGAAATATCAAAGTGATATAAGCAGTATCACCAACCATTCTTCATGAATGTTAAGTGGAGTTAGCGATTTAGTCTGCCTTAACATGTTGATTATATATATGAGGAAGCTTTCTTTGTTTTATATAAAATTCCAAAAAACATATCTCAAGGATATTGGTCATTATAATATATATATATATATATATATATATATATATATATATATATATATATATATATATATATATATATATATATATATATATTATTGGTCATTATTGGAACTATTCGGTTTACGTCGGAGAGAGTTCCATCCCATTTTGAAAAAAAAGAGTCGGAGAATCACTGAAAGTATTTGTGTTGTTACAAAGTGCTATCTTGGCTGCGTTCAGCTTCAGTGGCGTACAGAATTTTTGACATTCAATGTATTTTTATAACACATTGATTTAGCTAACAGGAGATGAATACATCGTCGATTTGCTTTTAACATTCGACAGTAGTAACTATCCTGTAATCTATACATTTTCAAAAATAATACGTAAATGTTAAGATTCTGACAAGAATTCAGACCCGAAATAAGCTTGAAGTGAAAAAAAGATACCATGTCAATTGTTTACCGTGACGACCCTATTACATGCACAGACAGTATGATACATGTCTCTGATTACAGCGCTATCACAACCCATACTTTGGAACCCAGTCATATTTTCAGTATATAGCAGTGGACTAGTAAATTGAAACAGTTTCATCCTGACCTACACTTGTCGGAAATAAATTTAGTATACCTTACACACTGTAGTGTGGATACGTGTTTTGACCCATCCCCTTTATAGAATCTTTGTATCTTCCTTCTGCGCACATGCTTGAAATATCTTCTTGTTATAATCTCTTCCTTCTTACGGTTAATGACCCAGCTATTCCTATTGCTTAGTATTCTCGGACACCGATTCACTCGACAAGTCCCCAAATCAGAACACGGTTGAACAGGAAAAAGATTATATTCTAAATAGCAAGTCAGAAGCCAGTAGGAAGCACAATAGGGGAAAACGTCGGTATATTTATAGTTTTTACATAAGAAGATTCCAGAATATTCTCCGACTATCGACTAGTGCTGATTGGATAAGAATCAGCCAATCAGAGTGCACCAAAACAATCATGCATTGAGCATGCTTTAATCTAGTCTATGTCCCGCTAACAGTTCTATTTCACATCAATTCATTTTGAAGCATTACGAGGATTCTTTCAACACGAAATTATTTCCGAGATAGAATTTATGATTCTTCTCAAATATCAAACAATAATACACATCAACAGACTGCTTAATAAAATGATCATCTGACGCAACTTAGTCTTTGTATCGTAGCGCATGATAAGAACCGAATTTTTTTAGCGAATGGTCCAGTGTTACCTAAGAATGTGGGTTAATATTCAAAGAGTGTAATATATGTTTAAGTGAGATAGAAAGGTGAAAAATTCGTACAGGTAAATGAAAACCTCAAGCGGCATCCTAAACCAGAATTCTTATTCGTTTTCATCTGGAATGGGGATGGTTAGTCATGTCCTATATTACAGTAATAAGTGAGTGGCGAAATTATGTACCTGCAAAGACCCCAACGATTTATAACCTAAACGCAACCAATAGCGGATAATGCTAACATCAGGATGACCTTCATCAAATACACTGGACAAGAACTTGGTTGTAGCTGATTCAAAATCTGTATATTGAATGTCTAAAAACAAAGAATGAGTAAGATACACTATTTATTTAAGTGTAAAATACGTTATTCTTTAGTTTTGTTCATAATAAACCAAAATTTACAGTCAAAACTTACTTGTAGTGGTCTTCAGCGATGTGTTGTTTAGAGACCTAATTATCACTCAAGTCTAAACTCAAATAATTGATAAGTTAGACGAATATATAGGACTACTGCTTCTCTTGGATTACGTGTATCCATTCTTATCAAACTTTAATGTGAAAGATGGGAAAAGCGCTATAAAAACTTCCTCACTGTACTTTGTGATTATCTTTACTTTCTGACTGTCCCCAATATGTGCTCATTTTTTATCTGAATAATCATAATATTGTCACATTTTATGTAGTATACTGAATTCGTACTTAAGTAAAAATGTAATGTGTCAATAAGCAAAGATGAATAGTGGCTAGTAGTAGAATCCAGGATGCGCGTTTCGACCCATTTGGGATTCGGCTGGATTTACCTGCATCACAGAGTTGATGTTCACTCCGGGACTCGAACCCAGTACCGTTCGCTTCAAACGCCATCGCGTTCTTCACTTAGCTACATCAACTCTAGGATGCAGGTACATCCAGCTGATGAGTCCCAAATAGAACGAAACGCGCGTCCTGGATTCCACTGCTAGTCACTAATCATCTTTGCTTAAAAAGCTTGTGACTTAAGGCTATATCGAGGCAACCCGCATAGGATGCACATATGCCAACATGAGACTGATCAATTGCAGTCCTATATAACAATGGGAAGATACAAGTAAAACAACATTGAGTCTCTTTAGTTCCAGTGATATATTTTGACTTGAAAAATTCACAAAAAGAATACAACATGAATTCGTATATGAAAATCTAAGAGATCTGTACAACTTTATTGCCTGTTTTTACGTTGCAACACGTTGTTTTTTAGCTGCAGTTGAAGATCGTAATGTTAATGAGAATTAACAAAAAGATTATTATTTGCTGAAAAAGAAGTTAAGGTTTTGAATTATGTTATAAGAAGTAAGGAGTAATTCTTAGAGGAGGTTTGACTCTTTCTTCATCTGGTACAGCCTCGAAAAGTTTGGCGTCGAATTGTGTCGGACTCTGAAACTCCAAAATTGCTGCTATATTCCCGCAACGATAACAGTAATTTGGAGCTGACCAAATAGTGATTAGCCGTCCATCAAACATACACTTATAGCCTTCATGGACAAGTTGATGAGCCCTACAAATAGACTCCAAACCATTTAACTCAACAAATTCACGAGTGACCTGAAAGTGATTTACAAAAGTGATAACGATAGTAAGTGTTGAGTGTGATTTCTAAAATACTTTATAATATTTGGAAAATGTAGTAAGTATTGTAAAGATTTATATAAATGTATACTTTTGTATTTAGAGCAGTTAGATTATTAGAGAAAAAAATATAATCATTTTGTAACAAACTAAAATAACCATGTTCAGATTTTCATACAAAATGACTTAAATCAATTCAACATTGCAGTAACAAAACAAGTAGTGTAGTGAAATTCATGAGTATACTCTAAACAAATTGCAACAAATCCAACTTATAGACTTCCTGAAATAACCAAAATCTAACCAATACACTAGGCTAATATAGACCTGAGCTGCTTCTAATAATTGAATTAATTGAAGTATTATCCGGGTTATGACAAAAAAATCTTCACAGGTTGGTCTTAACAAAGTATTACTGCCGCTTGATAGAAATAACAGAAAAGTTTTCTGCCACAGCCTCAAAGTAACCAGTTTAACTAACATAGACACCGGGATTCCAGGTTTGAAAGTCAGTTGAAAGTTAATTGCTGTTTGAGAAAAGGAAATACAAGCAAACTAAGCAAATTTCACGGTCGCCAGGGGATCATTAACCATATTTTAGCGTACGAGACAACTTTATACAGTCAGTCAGTCAGTAACAACGTAGAACTTCGTACGTACGTACATCAGTTCGAGTTGCCACACCACATTAGCACAGAGATACAGTGGTCGATTCAAATCCCGTAGTGATAGAGGTAATAAGAGTATAAGCAGTAATAGGGAAAATTAGGGTTTGGAGATGTTATTTAAAGAGTATAATCCAGTGAAAGAAATTTGGAAAGAGGAAAAAAGGGACATGAAGAATTCAGAAGATTAGAGTTTGGGAGAACACAGAGAGTGGATGCACCTGCGCCATTGCAAAACGATTTCGAGCCATGTCATTCAGGGTCTCTAACCATCGGTTGCTATCATCTTGCGGATCCCAGCCAGGTAGTCTACACCTACCAACATGACTCAGTCCACTTGTCAGTGACTTCATGGACTTGTGCCATGTTTTGGTTTGGCCGCCCCTAGCTTTCTTCCAACCTACTCCTATACCACTGAACATAGCACGTCGAGGTAGTCGGTCGTTGGGCATACGTAACACGTGTCCCAGCCATCTCAACTGATGAAGTTTCACTACTTCATCAATTAATTTGCCATCCTTACCTAGTACCCGTTTCCTAACAACTGTGTTACTTACTCGATGGTCCCATGATATACGAGCAATGTTTCGAAGACACCTATGATCAAATACTAGTAACCTACGGATATCCTCTACTCTTACCGGCCATGTTTCACTGCCATAAAGTAGGACGGAACGAACTGCTGCGCAGTAAACACGTCCTTTGGTTGATAGACGGATATCTCGCCTACGCCATAAATGACGCAAGTTGGCAAAAGCTAGTCGAGCCTTCTGTATCCGTGCTGAGATTTCGTCACACACCAAACCACAAGGGCTGATGAGACTTCCAAGATAAGTGAAGCGGTCGACACACTCAACTACTTCACTCCCTATCACTAGTTCGGGTGTCGATGTAACCCAATCCTGAAGCAACATTTTGCCTTTCGAGGGAGAGAATCGCATCCCGAACATGCTTGCATTGTTGCTTAGAGTGGTCAGAAGACTCTGCATTTTGTCAGCGTCTTCACCAAATAAAACTATGTCATCTGCATATTCTAAGTCAACAAGTGAACCTCCTGGTAGAAGTTCAACCCCTGTAAATTTAGATGAGGAGAGTGTTATCTCTAAAAGTACGTCAATGACAAAGTTAAACAAGAATGGGGAGAGTGGACAGCCCTGACGAACACCACTTGAGGTGATCAATTCTGATGACAGTTCACCATAAGCTCTCACTCTACCAGTTGTGTTCGAGTAGAGAGCCTTTATAAGGTTAATGTACTTCTTTGGTACTCCTTTCAGTGACAAACACTGCCATAGAACCTCACGATCAATAGAGTCGAATGCCGCCTTAAGGTCGAGAAATACTACCATTGTGGGGCGTCTGAATGTGTGTCTGTGTTCTAGAACCTGACGTAGTGTGAATATCTGATCGATACAACCACGTCCAGGTCGAAAACCAGCCTGGTTTTCTCTAGTCTGCTCTTCACGAGCTTTAGTTAGGCGTCGAAGTATTATTGAGGCTAATATTTTAGACACTATATTAGTCAAACTGATTCCTCTGTGATTGTCACAAGAGGGCTTTTGTCCTTTCTTATAGACTGGCACAATCAGTGATTGAGACCAGTCAGATGGGATTACGTCCAGTTCCCAAATTCTACCTAAGACCTCAGTTAATCTCATTGCCAATACTAGACCACCATCCTTAAAAATCTCAGGAGTAAACCTGTCAGGGCCTGCTGCTCTCCCTCGTTTCAGATTTCCTATGGCTTTTTCAACTTCGTAAAGGGACGGAGGACCTACATTAACTTGCCATTCAGGTTGACTGGAGATCGTGGGAAACCGAAGTGTGGCTGAAGGCCAGTTGAACTGATCCCTAAAGTGTTCTGCCCATCGATCCAATCTCCTGGATTGAGAATGAATAATATGTCCATCTTTCTCTGAGATTGTTTCGCTAACGGTCGGGTTCCTAATTCCGGTTTCCTTAACGAGTCTAAACAATTGTCTGCTATTACCTATTGCCGCTGCCTTTTCCATCTCTCTTGCTTTCGCTACCCACCACTGTTCGCGATCATTGCGTAGACTTCTTGTCAGCTTGCGCTTAAGCTGACTCCGCTCTTCATTATGTCCAGAGCCAGGTGGAATGAGTTTCCGAGCATCTATCAGTGCGATAGATGCTGCTGAGATCCAGTGTTGCTCACTAACTTTACGGTTTACCTTACTAGCAGATATCACTGCTGTTTCCACAGCTTTTCGGATATCATTCCATGCTGCCTCGGGGTGGGTATCACTTACATGGCTGCCTAACTGTTTTCCTAGTTGTTCCTGAAATATACTCTTAGCTTGACTATCATTGAGTAGGCCCCTCATAGGTTTCCTTGTAGCGTCTTTCCTACGTCCAGTAAGACGCAAGCAAATACGCGCTCGCACTAGAGCATGATCTGATTCTAAGCATGTGCTCCAGAATGTCCGACAGTCTTCTATCGAGCCCCTCCATCGGTGGCTGATAGCGATGTGATCTATTTGGGTCCAACGTTGGGACGAATTAGGGGGTCGCCATGTTAAAAGATGTTTTTCCTTATGCTTAAAGTTAGTATTTGCAAGGAACAGGCGGTTATCTGAGCATAGCTGCAACAGACGGTCGCCATTATCTGTTCTTGGAGCCACGACACCATAAGATCCACCTAGGTGTCTTTACTTATCACTTAGTTTACCTAATTGAGCATTAAAGTCACCGGCCACTATTACTACATCCGAGCGCTTAGCTTTTCGGAGAAGGTCCGAAAGCTTTCTGTAAAACTCATCTTTTACATCATCTGAGCTGCAGTCAGTGGGAGAATAGGCAGAGACGACGAAGAGGCAACGACGAGTGTCCCTACCTTTCCGGATTCTTACTGTTCCGTTCAGTCGGACAGCGCACAAACGACTGTTTACTGGGATCCACTCTAAGAGAGCTAGTTCTGCCCTAGGACTCAATGCTATACCTACGCCGGCGAGGCCACGGGAAGCAGAATCAGGGCTTCCAGATACACGAAGCGTAAATCGAGTCGGTTCTTTATTTTGGCATGGTGAGGTCAAATGAATGACACTACTCGGATCCTGTATGCGCGTTTCGGAGACGCAGCACACATCGATAGCGCGAGATTCTAAAGTTTTAGCTAAGGAAGCCTGCTGTCCTATTTGGCAAAGTGTTCGTACGTTAAAAGCTCCTACGTGTAGTTTAGAGCGTGGTTTCAGGAGACCAGGAATGGCGTTCCACGTACTCGAATCGTTTGCCCTAGCGGTGCGAGGTGATAAAGAGACGTGAGGAGGGTTAGTCGGGAGGATAAGAGAGGTATTAGGAGGTGTAGGAAGGATTTGAATGTGACCACCTTAGTCTCTTGTGCTGTTACGGGTATGAGGGCTGATGTCACTTCCCGGCTGCCCACACCGTGGAAGGGTATTTCTTGAGGAACCTGAAAAGGAAATTGGATTAGTGTTGGTTTTGACGACCTGGGAGCGTGACCGCAGAGCCCAAGGGACAACTGCTTGAGGCCGGTCGCGCACGGCCTTTTTGTGGAAGGTTTTTGACGTGTTAGCTCCGTTCTTCAAGGGGCCTTACCGCCGGAGACGGAAATCCGTGAGGTAAGGTGAGGTGTGCATTTTTAGGGTCGACCTTTTCTAACCCCACCCCTCCTTGTGGGAAGGCAGCATCGCTGTCATGCTGGTTGTCCGAGGGAAACACTTTACTGCTGTCACACCTCTCTACAGTCAGCAGTACGACTTCGCCCTCAGACCTTGAGTTGCTGCTTTTAGTCATACCGTTCGCCAATCGACCTGCCTGGCATGGTAGAACCTGCAGGAACATATGTTCCAGCCAATATAGCTCGGTTGGGTCATCACGATAGGCAAGCCCGACCACCGCGTCAAGGTAGCAGCTTCGATCAGGACAACTTTATACACTTGATCCTGAGCCATATTCTTTGTGATGATGAGTGATATACGATAAAAATTGCAACTACTACCAATCATGTTCAATATAGTCACAAATATACCAATGAAAGTGGTTCCAACACTCTGAAATAGTTTTCTAACTAGGAATGTAACAAATAACTGGTAGAATACAAATGATAGTCATAGTATCATAAAAATAATGAGAAAATTTGACGTTTGATATGAGCTATGCACCATCCTTAATATAAAATGATACTCTGAGGCTAATCCGCACCAACATTTAATCAAGGTACAGAAAAAGACTTAGTTGAGAGTGTAGACTAATGCACTTGGGATGCTGTATTAACCTTGATAGGCTGAACGCCGACAAAATGTCGCTATTGAAACATGAGACATCCCTACAACTTGTCAACCTATACTACTTATGGCATAGATGGGATATTTAGCTATCTACCGAAAAGTGATCAGATCACAAAATAATGCTAAGGCTGCTTGATCATGTCGTAAGGATAAACATGATTTCGAATTACTGTTTGCACGTAGTGAGATGAGTTCTTGAACCTCTACTGATTAAGCTGCGAGGATTGTGACGTGGATGGGAAGTTACTGTCTACAATGGAATGTGGTATCGGTTGATGGTGAAGTTGAAAAATAAAACAAGAATGGACAAACCGAAAATGGAATTAGGCTATGGAGTTACTGACTATGTAGACTATACATGGAACTATCTGAATGATAGAACTAAGTTGTTGACTTGAGAATGAACGAAATAGTGTGGATATAGTTTGTAAATATTACTCCATCTAAGGGTTACACTTTAAAAAGTTATGCATCAATTAGAGAAAAAAACATGGAAATATGTACCAGTACATCCAAATGTAAACTTTTACTTATGTCTAAGAAACTGAATACTCATACTTTTGGTCCAAATAAGTATCCGGCACCGCGCGGACTGACAGCCCACTGGGCTACGTCATCAGGATCTGACCATAAAATGTCACAAAAAGGACCTTCATGCGGTATTTCCATATGTCTGTCGATTGTGCGGATTTGATCAAGTGTTTTGATTTGAGGTGACAGACCCCCATGAACGCAAAGGACTTTTTCCCCAACCAATGCAGCTATAGTAAGAAGATCGAAGACTTTGCAACAATAATGCCATGGATTTGCATTGCCATATTTATTGATACATTCATCATAGAAGCCATAGCACTTGAACAGAAACATGAATTCGAAAAGGCAGCTAATAAGGTAATACCTGGAATCATTATTAAATATATCAACACGATGAATGATAATCTAAAGACACGGAATTATTGGATTTCATTGAAATTCGGTTTTCACTACTTTATTTGGGCAGTACAATTGTGGTTTATGCTACCTACATCGACAGATATGTAACACCAATCAGAAGTGGAAACCCTAACGGTAGAAGGCTAAGATCAGAAATAGAAAGCAATTGTGACTTGGAAGAATCATACAGAACGTGAAGGAATAATGATGGAGATTTGCAAATTATTATTATTATTATTTATTATTAATGGCTTTATTCAATATTATATTTTGGTACAATATAGAATTCTCAACACAGGGTATTTCAACAAGTTACTTACTGAACAACGAACAAAAATGCAGTAGCAAATACAAAAAGAAATTTTAAAAAAGGTTTTAAAATATATATATATATATAAATTTGAAAAAAGAACCAAAAAATAACTGTACAAACTTTTTTAAAGACATGTTAAGAATGTAAGTTATTGACTAGGTTAACTCTAACAACCTTTTCGTCACAGAGTATATTTGCTAGGTAAGGTATTATAGAACTTTTATACTTTTCCTTGAGTGCATGGATTTTAATGTAATTACGTCTCGTTCTACCAGAAGATATACAAGGAGAAAGATAAGAATGAAGGGGATGGCTAGTATCTGATAAAATAACACCTGCCAGGAGTTTGCATGATTTTAAATGTCTATCCACAACCATATTAATTATGATCTCGAAAGATTCACCACACATCTTGCTAACTGCCTTCAGCACTCTTCAAAATACAGCAAAGTCTTTTCTCAAAAGCCCGGGAAAGAATAACGGAGAACAGTAAAGAATAATAGGTAATATGCAAGAATTGACAAATTGTAAGAGTAAATGACGAGTAATTCCAAGAGCATGCAATCTCTTTATGTAGTAGGTCAGACGGAAAATCTTCTTCGATAACGATAAAACGTGGGAAGACCAAAACAGATCAGAGGAAAAGGTGACACCAAGATAATTGACCTTCGAAACTGTGCATATCAAAGAGTCTCCGATGGTACAAGCACTATGGGATCTCAAAATAGTGTTTATATTCCGTTCATATCTCATGCTAAAGTTAACAGCTTGACATCTAGACGGATTAAGTATGAAACCATTACCAACAGACCAACAATCAATACGAGACAAAAACTTATTCATTTCTATGGGATGTAAAGAGGAAGAGATAGGCATACATACAGTGAGATCATCCGCATACTTCACAAAAGTGTTTTCTGTGGAAGATGGCAGGTCATGCAGAAAAAAGAGAATAGAAGAGGTGAAAGAACAACTCCTTGTGGTACACCTTCATGTGACAGTAGAGACTCTGAACTCTTTCCTCCAAACAGTGTACTGTTCCCTTCCAGAGAGGTAGGAACATAGCCAGTTGGTTATCCAGCTGTCAGTGTTGACGCTGATTAACTTGTTAAGTAAACGTTGTCTTGGTAAAGAGTCAAAAGCTGAAGTATAGTCCAGAAAAGCACATCGAACATACTTCTTACCCTTTTCTAAGTTGAACACTATGTTGTGATGCAGAACTGCAACAGCATCTAAAGTGCTTCTTTTGCGCCTGTATGCAAATTGGTATGGGTCAGTATGCTCTTTTATCGCAGGCTGAAGTGGAAGTATTAATAATTTTTCCATGGTTTTGAGGAAAGGTGAAGTTATTGCAATAGGTCTAAATTTTACATTCTTATCACCAGATACTTTCTTGGGTACAGGAATTATCTTCATCTTTCTCCACATTTTCGGTATGAGATTAGATGAGAAGGATCTGTTAAATATAGTTGTGAACGGATGACACAGAACGTCAGCACATTTTTTAAAAAGGATGTTTGGGATACCATCAGGTCCCAAACATCGAGATGAATTAAGCGACTGGAGACATCCTCGTACATCAGTTTCAGTGAAAGTAGGAACACAGCTATTTTTTAAACCCGTGGATAGAGGGAGCATCACATCAGATGACTGACGTACAAAAGACTTATTTAAGTCACAAACATTCAGCTAGTTATCGCTTCTAAACTTTCTGTCACCTGTAAGTTCTTTAAAGAATTTCCACATACTTGGAGAGTTTTTGCAAGATAAGAGTTTTTGAGTAAACATACAGTTGAGACGTCTAATCTCTAGGTTTATCAGACCATTTAGCTTACGAACTTCATTTGAGTTCTTCTCCTTGTACATTCTTTCTTTCATCCTCCGTAGTCGTTTTAGTTGTGAAGATGTAAGTCGATCAAAACCTACAAAAATGGTTTCAGTGGGACAACAAATATCAAAACGGAATTTAAGGTAACAAGTGATAACATCAGTAGTGATTTCGAGTGAGTCATCTGTAAATAATTCCCAGTTAGTCGTATGAAGCATGTTTTTCAGTTTTCGGATATTTTCTTCTGAGTAATTCCTATATTTGACTTTCTTGGTTTGATGTAAGAGTGTACTCTTCCCATGCTTTCCATATACTTTAGGTAGAACACGAATTATACAGTGATCTGAGCTAGACATTGGAGCACGTTTACGAGTCGCATATATACCCACATCATTAATGAAGACGAAGTCCAGATGAGCATCCAAACGGGTAGGAAAATCCACTACATTTTGGTGACCTAGTGACGTAAGGAAGCTACAGTCACATTTTACCAAGAAATTCTGTAATTTCGTACCAAAAGCGACTATCTACCGGTATCCAGTCTAAGAGAGCTAGTTCTGCTCTAGGACTCAATGCTACACCTATACCAACGAAGCCACAGAAGGCAGCATCAGGGTTTCCAGATACACGAAGCGTGAATCGAGATGGTTCTCTATTTTGATATGGTGAGGTCAAATGAATGACACTACTCGAATCCAGTACACACGTTCGGGAGATGCAGTATACGCCAACAGCGCGAGATTCTAAAGTCCTAGCTAAGGAAGCCTGTTGTCCTATTTGGTACAGTGTTCGGACGTTAACAGCTTGTACATGTAGTTTGGAGCGTGGTTCCAGGAGATCGGGAATAACGTTCCGCGTACTCGAATCGTTTGCATTAGTGGCGCGAGGTGATAAAGGAACATGAGAAGGGTTAGTCGTGGAGATAAGAGAGCTATTAGGAGGTGTGTGAAGGATTTGATTGTGGTCAACTTGATCTCGTGTACCTTTACTGGTATGAGGGTTGATGTCACTTCTCAGCTGCCCACACTGCGGAAGGGTATTTCTTGAGGAACCTGAAAAGAAATTCGGATCAGTGTTGGTCTTATTATTACTATTACTATTTGAACACATAAATATTGGTACAAGAGAGCGCCAATATATGGTCTTAACGACCTGGGAGCGTGACCGCAGAGCCCAAAAGGACAACTGCCTGAGGACGGTCACGCATGGCCTTTTTATGGGAAGTTTTTAACGTGTTAGCTCCATTCTTCAAAAAGCCTTACCGCCGGAGACGGAAATCCATGAAGTAAGGTGAGGTGTGACATTTTTAGAGTCAACCTTTTCTAACCCCTTCCTTCCTTGTGAGAAGTCAGCATCGCTGCAGCCGCTGGTTGTCCGAGGAAAACACCTTAGTGCTGTCACACCGTTCTACAGTCATCAGCACGGCTTTGCCTTCGGACCCTAGGTTTGCTGCTTTTAGTTCTACCATTCTCCACTCGACCTGCCTGGCACGGTAAAACCTGCAGGAATACATATGTTCTAGCCAGTATAGCTCGGTTGTGCCATCATGATAGGCAAGCCCGATCGCCAGGTCAATGTGGCAGCTACGGTCGGATGAATAAATTTTGGTTGAAGGGGTTTGTCCTGGAGTATGAATTAAATAATCACATCGTTTATTCATAAAGAATTAATAGAATTCAAACCATTTCTCACAGTAAGAGATAAACACAGAGACAATCAGGTTCTTATGATTAAAGACCTACGAAAATAGTGACGGACTGTGGTTTATACACGAACCAATTAGGTAAAAGAAACAGGTCTTAAATCCCGGCGCGGAATTCATTCTTCTACTTGGCGAAATATCGTTTCGGCATTATAGCTGATGTCAGTTCGTGATGAAAGCCTTAAATCTGATTCTTAACATTAACCATCAACTGTAAATCATATTCCTAACTCCTGATACTGGTTTATTAGTTGGACACTCTCAAAGTCACTTTAGCGTCGCTCAAAAGCCTTTCATAAAGTGTAGGCTCACCTAAATACTATTTTATGACTTCCTATCCAGAAACCAATGGTTTAAGAGAACGTCAGAAGTCAAATGTACACATAGTGCTATGCCGACTTCAACGAATAGTGACCTAATTAATCCTATAGGTAAATCTTTCAGGAGCTGAATGACATTTCTATAAAGTTTCTTAGATTATGCAAGTGCTCGAAAGATTTTTAACATAAGTAATTCAGTTCTCATCACTACTGTCGAAACGAATGTAAAGAATCAAATAATCATTAAGAACCGATAATGTTAACGGATTTTACCTGTTGCTAAGATCACTACGGTTACAAATCATCTCACTAGAGCGCATATCCAACATAATCAATCGTGAAAATTATAAACGTATAACTTTGGAAATTCACTGGTACTTAGGAACAAATAAAAACATCTATACAAAACTTTCTGGACAAGCGCACAGACTGAGCATATTAGGAGGGACGAAGTATTAACAAAGCCTAGTAAACAAGACTCTGCAAGCATAGATTCTACCTGGGTAACTTGCCGACTTTCATGGTTTCCTCTCAGTAATGTTATATGTGCGGGATATTTGGCTTTTAAAACAAGAAGGAATGTGAGAGTTTCAAGGCTGTAATAGCCACGGTCAACAAAATCTCCCATGAAGATGTAATTCCTGTCAGGTAGTTTGCCCCCTCTGCGAAATAACTGCAAAAGATCATAGAACTGTCCATGAATATCACCACATATGGTAACAGGGAAAGAAACAGGCTGTACATTGCATTCTTCAATCAGCAATTCACTAACGTAGCTGCATAATTTTTTAAGTTCGTTTTCTGGAAGGTATTTACAAGTTTTGACAGACTCTATCCACTGATCTAAGACCATTTCAAAAGTAGCTCCTCTGAACGGACATCGTACACAATGTAACGCAACAGTCAATCTGTGCACTTCCAATATCCAATATCTTTAGCACGTAATTGTAGTTCATCTGAGACATGTTGCACTCCACACATACAATCCGGGTAATTACTCTCTAGAGGTGCTGGAGTTGTAAAAGATCTATGAGTATGAGTACCCTATAATCTGACGTCTTACGCCCACCGTGAGTCGAAGCACATGTTTGACCACACTGACTACACAAATTTCCACGTAATCTTTAACAGTTTTAACTGCTCGTTTAGGGCAAGGAGATATAGTGCTTCTTCTGCCGTTCCAAAACACTAGAATGTATCCAAAGGCAAGTCGCAAAATCAAAAGTGATCTCATGATGACTTAAGGCATCTCAAACATTCTTGACTATATGTCAAACTAATAGCCAACATCTAATTCTATCCATCTTAATGTGACTTGGTAAAATATATTTATCATAAATCGCAAAGAGTCATTTTGCACATGTCATGAACTTAATCAAACATTTTGAAACTATTACACGTACCTTACGACCAGTTACTGACACCATTTTGATTTATCTTTCACTTTATCATTATCCTGAGGACTGACATTATTCGCTTGGTAACCTACGGCACGCGATGACCATACTCGATTTGGTATTGAAACAACGGTAGATCGATTCTGGTGTGAGAGTAGTGTAGTGGTATTTGTTATATACTAGTCAAGATTAAATTACGAGTAACTTCTGGGAACTAATAATGGACTAGTATTATATATATATATATATATATATATATATATATTCCTGTTGTATAGCTGTTCAGCGACCACATTATTTGTATCTATATTTCTCCTGTCATAAACACCATTTTGACCTATATATTATTATTATTATACGATTGACTGTTCTTAAGTTATGTTTAGCTTGTTGATTACAGACTCTCACGTCCACAGCCACGTTTGGGCTTGATCTTGTATAAATATTATTTCCTGTTTTATGGTGTGACGCGGTTTGTTTGTTTGGTATATAAACCAAGTGTGTTTGAAATAAATGATTCGCATAGTGGAAGCTGTTCTTGATGTTCTGGACTCAACTGGATGGGCCAGGCGAACAAAGGACTAATAAGGACGCTAGGATGCTCATACCGTTCAAACGTCATTAGTTTAACAGATTACTAGGATTGAATAAATTATATTCCAATTGGCGAATAAATCGCGTGATAACTAACTGGCCTTGAAATACACAACAGTGTTGGTTCCTAATATAGCAGTCTCTGAAGCCGTATGTATAATCACTGAGATTTACATTCAACCTGCGACACTCAAGGAAGGTTGAGATAACGAACGTGGAAGCATTTGACCGGTGTGGCATGGCTTATCTTTGTAGGTGTGGTAATCCTTGTGACAAATCCATATTCACATTAAAATATATCATACTATCCCCAGCTCGTCGAAAGTTCTAAACATCGTACTGTTGACTGTTGCAATATGATGAGTCAGAAGAGACAATGATGTAGCTTCCCCGTAAGATCTTACGTTTAGATAGTCATATCAAGATAAGTCTACAACTTTGGACTTAGGTCTGCTATAACAGCAACAATGATAAGTGCATTAATACAGAACTAGGCCATAAATTTACAAAACTAGAGTTAGCAGTATTACTACGTTGTCTCGTTTCGAATTTGAGGGTAATATGTAATGTATTCCATACAGACTTATAAATTCAATCGTCCATGAACATGTTAATCACTTTTAGGAAGAATAATGGGACCTCTACACTACCATATTTCATGAATGATGCAGGAACGCCATCAGGTCCATCGTAATAACATATTATCAGAACAGTTCCAGCATTGTTACTGGTATACATTCACAGATGAACAAAATGTCACAAACAGATAAGGATGAATTAGTCAGTGGTGGCTTATTTGTTAATTCAATGGTTTTTTACAAAATCGATCGCAGTTTTATGAGCTAAATAACCTGCATACTTAAGACGTCACTGTTCTAATCGTTGTTTACGAGGATTTTGCCCACCGTTGATACAGTGTTCTATCTGGCAGATTCTTAACATCCCTGAAAACCATTTTGTGCATGACTATCCTCAAGAAAGTTGGAAATCCACCTGCCTCAATAGATGTGTTGGAGATAAGCAGTATTTGTGAATGAAAACAAGGGTGACTTATTCAGTTCTGCGAACGCATATGGTACGTGTGTTGTAGTCATTTGCGTGTAGGTGCTTAGATGTCTACACTAGAAATACATTGACGGAGATTTTGATTTCTGTATTGTGGCATCCAGAGAAATAGTGGCTGACTAGTTCACTTGAAACAGTGCAGTTAAAGCAATATGATAAATCGCGGTATACGTTGTTTATCAATGATGCTACTCAGAGACGAGAAACTTTCCAACTCTCCTAGAATTCCTCTATCAAGTGTGACCACGTTGGTGTCCGCCTGTCGTACTTGAGGACCTTGGTTTTTCCATGATCAGTGTCGAGGCCTGCTGATACAGAGGTTGCTGTTACATCGGTTGTCTAGTTCTGCATTTGTTGATGTGTATGGAATAGAAGGACTAGTTCATCTGCGAAGCCCAAATCGTCTAGTTGCGTCCGGCCTGTCCGTTGTATTCCGTGCTTTCGGTCAGATGTCGATGTCCTCGTAATCCAGTCAACTACTAGAACAAATAGGAAAGGTCAGAGTTGTCAGCCTTGTCTGACTCCGGTCCACACTTGGAATGCATCTGTCAGCCGCCCTCCATGCCTGATGTTGCAGTGTAATACATCGTTTGAATCCCATATGATGATTTTATCCGGTAAACTATGGTGTCGAAGATGTTTCCATAAAGTCCTCTTATCAACACTGTCGAATGCCTTCTCATAGCGATGGAACGTGATGTATAGTGGCGAGTTCCATTCAGTTGATTGTTCAATGATGATCCGTGGTGTCTCGATTTGGTATGTGCACGGCCGATCTTTACCGAATCCGATGTGTTGATGTTGAAATTGAGCGTCCACTGAGTCTTTCATTCGGTTCAGCCACACTGTTGAAAACGTTTCCTAGTACTGATATTGGTGTGATGCCTTTGTAGTTCTCACGTTTGCTCAGATCTCTTTTCTTTGGTATCTCGATGAGGTGTCCTTCTTTTCAGTCCATCGGCACTTTTTCCTCCTCCCAACTCTTCATGGACAGAGTATGAACCGTGTTTGCAGTTACTTTCATGTCTGGTTTCAGTGCTTCAGCTGGTATGTTATCAGGTCCAGTTGTTTTGCACACTTGATTTTTCTGATGATCATCTTGATTTCTTCGGTCGTTGATGGAGTGACATCTATAGGAATGTCTGCGTGTTGCTTGGATATCCGGTGGATTTAATGGAGCTGGTCTATCCAAGAGTTCCTCAATTTGTCCTACCCACATGTCCTTCTGTTTTTGAATCTCAGTGACTGACCTGGCTTCTTTGTCCTTGGCTGATCTCTCAGGCTTCTATATTTCTGAAAATTTGAAAGTTTGAAATATTTCTGCTTTAAACCTTTCAAACGTTTGTAAGATAGCGTGAAAGAAATCTTACTAAAAACACTATGAAATGCCCTGGACGCCTATATTCATATATAAGACCAAGGACGAAGACGAAATGTGCAAGAAGTGGTAATACGTCATCAGCTTAAGACAGCTTAGATATAGCACGGGCATCCTTTAGTTTATATGTGTGTGTACTATAGAGCAGTACATATAAGCGAACAATTGTTTTCAATTACATCGTCATCAGGTTTTACTATTATATACATGAATATTTATACGAAAACATTAAATCAATCAAGGCAATTTGGGCCAATAATCATAATGAAATAGGTAAAAATGCGAGTTGATAGTAGGAAGACAGGGGTACTGATAGTAGTAAGAAAAATAAAATACTGTGACAAAAGTCACATCAATAGTTAAACATTGGAAATGGAAGGTCAAACGTGGGTAAATAGACTTAGAATAATCATCACGAAACATTAAAAGCATTACGTGATAAGAGGTTTGTAAAAAGTTAGATAGTGAGGAATACAAACTGAAAAAGGCGGAAACTTACAAACAAATAACGGATGTGAAAATAAGGTTAATGACAACAAAAATAGAATCAAGTAAACAAATGATAAACGTAATAAAAATTTTAAAAAACCATTTGTCAAGTTATAACTGGGCATGGAAGGGATAGGGGGTTACGAATTTCTTCTGTACACATAAATTGGGGTTATATGTACGAATTCCTATGACTTCAGCTATATGTAGGAGGCGGGAACAAACTCCGTTAGGAAATGATGGAGCTATACGATAGATCAGTCGAAATGCTTCTGATTTATCTACAGTATGGCCGCTATCAATGAGATGTGCCCAGATGAAACTGCGTATTGTTTTTATCTGACCCCTTATAAATCAAACTGGTAGATGTTCACTCATTCGTTGGTTAAGTTGCCTGGTAGTACGCCCGATATAGTTATACCGACAGGAGTAGCTGAATTTGTAAATGCACATTGAGGAGGCCAACTCAGGTAACTTATCCTTATCGCTTGTCGACTAGAGGTCAACACAAGATTGGCTGCGTAGAATTTCCTGCTAATTACTTTCATTAACCTAGTTTTCAGAGCATCACTAGCCACATATCCGTTGAATTGTAGTTTCACGTATAAAGGTTTCTCACGAACAATCGAAATTTCCATATAGCATAGAGACCTATCATTAGATACAAATACATTCATGGAATTATAGAGCTTGATGTTTGTAACCCGCTGAATAAACCTGATATAGTTATATCTGTAGGACTCGAGAAATTTACACCAGATTACTAAAGTGACTCGCAAATCTCTTGAGCACACCTTTTTATATATCTGTGACTGAAGGTAGATTACTAAAGGTCTGTACGAACTCCTTAATAATTCCTGCCCTCATAACAGACACAAGATACAAATCTGGGAAATATGGACCCGTAAGCAAAATCAGCGTGATTGTTAGGACTCCATGAAAGATCATTCAGGAAGAGTTGTTTAAGTATTTAGAGTAAGTTATGATTCTTTCTGAAAAGC